TTGGAAGCTCAATTTTAATGTTAATAAAAATATAATATTCAACACTTTTATACCAAATGTAGGTCCGGAGCGGAATATATGAGGTTGATCCACGCCTATTGACTTTAGTAACTGGACCTGTCAATAATGTTAGGTTATATAACGGTTACTGGGTTAATGGATTCCGATTTCATACTATCTCATATGGAAAAAACAAAAAGAACATGAATAGTGGAGTTTGTGTAAGGGGAACCACTTTAAATGATGATGAGTTGGATTATTATGGGCAATTGAAAGAAGTTATCGAACTTCACTATTTTGACTCATCTGTTCCTCAGTCAGTGATTTTGTTTAATTGTGATTGGTATGATTTGAACAAAGGCATTGTGATCCATCCATTATCTCATATAGTTGACATAAATCCTCGATTTAAACTACAGACAAATGAACCTTTCATCTTAGCAAGTCAAGCTCAACAAGTGTTTTACACTTCTTATCCATCTAGAAATCCTCGTAGGAGAGGGTGGTATGCTGCATGTAAGATTAGGGCTAGAGCGATAATTGACACTTCATCTTTGGGTGATTGTGTAAGTGATTATTATCAAGATGATGATCCTCCTATGCCGCAGTTGGTGCAACCCTCAACTATTGTAGATGATCATGTTTCGCTAGCATCTCTGGGAGGAGAACAAGTGGTGATTGGTGAGGATATGCATTTATCTTATGTGGTTGAACAAAATGAGGAAGAATGTGTGGATGAGGATGATGAGGAAGAGGATGAGTTTGCGGGGACAGAAACACCAGAAGAAGAAGTTTCAAATTACTTAACCGAGAGTGATAGTGACTAATTGTATTTTCTTTGACTTTTTTCTTAAACCAAACAAATGATGGATGACCATTTATATTTTGCTTGTGTTACTAAAGTAGGACATTTTCTTTATACGTATATTATATTTATATAATATACATATATATTTTGTTTATATTAATAGATATTTAGATTTAGACTTATAATTTATGTTAATTTAATATATTTAGATATTATATATTGTATTTATTTTGAGATAATTGTTATTCTAAATCATCCTTAAGATTATTAGTAAAGGTTTTTAATATCAACATAATTCATATTCTTATTGTACTTAAGATTCATGATCTTGGACGTTGTTCCAATATTACATGCTTTTGGCATGATGTTTCAAATTTCAATAAAACAATGTGACACTTAAAATTTTTGTAATTATTTTGGCTCTCAAAATCTCTATTTTTTGTTGAGTTTTGATTTATATGTTAGCATATTGATACATTTGCAAGTGTTTAAACCTTTATATGACATACATTAGCATATTCATACTTTTGTAAGAGTTATTACTTAAAATCTTTACTGGTATTTTTTTCTTGTATGGATGGTACTCCTAATTAATTAATATTAATATGTTTGTTACATATCCATAATAATGACTTTTTTTATATATTAATTTGTATAGCGGTGGACAATATTTTCTATCCTTTAACTCATTCTATTTGGATATTATCTTACTCAATTTTAAAAGTGGAAGAGAAACTCGGGGTTACCATCCAACATCCAATCACCTTGGAGATATTTCCTTAAAATCATCTTTGAAATATCTTATCTTCTTTGGCCATTGTGTATGGACCTCTCTATTTTTTGTTGAGTTATGATTTATACATTAGCATATAATTTACTTATTGGTTATTACTCTGTACGAAAAGAAAAAGGGGTAGATTTCCTATGCAAGGCAAAGGAGAAAGGGAAAAACTGTAGGGGATAAATATGATGATACCTTCAAGCGCTTCTGATCAGGATAAGAAATTCCATAAACTCCTTGTTCCTTATTACATCTCCAGTATGCTGATGAAGCATGTAATTACAAATATGTTATATATTTGTATTATTTATATGTTTATTTATTCTATTTATGGTATCTTTAAATTTTACAATTATCTCATGAAAGCTTATGTAAATTTATTATTTTGTGTGTATAGATATGGGACGAGGTACTCGAGGTGAATCATCGTCTAAAGAAGCCAGTAATACACTGGATAAAGCACAAAAGCAACTTCGACGTCTTATTCGTGGGCCTCGTAAGGCTGCTCCCACACAGCAGCAGATGCCCAGTTTGAGTCAGCCTCCCTCACAGCAGCAATTGCCTACTTTGAGCCAGCCTCCCTCACGGCAGCAGTTGCCTAGTTTGAGCCAGCCTCCCTCACGGCAGCAGTTGCCTAGTTTGAGCCAGCCTCCCTCACGGCAGCAGTTGCCTACTTTGATCCATCCTCCCTCACAGCAGCAACTGCAGCAACAACAGCCCACTTTGACCCCCCCAGTCACACAGCTGCACCAGCAACAGTTGCCTACTTGGACCCATCCACTCTCGCAGGTGCAGCAGCAGCCTCCATTGCCTGATCAGGAGCTTGGTGATGAGGCACCAATGGAGGAGGATGCGGATGAGCTGGTTGAAGAGCGTAACTTAGAAGCTGAGCTTGCTGCTGAGTATGATCAACTTGATCCTGAGTTGGATGCTG